ATGATGATGTCATTTTATGACAATAATATCGAGGCAAAAAATTTTTACATGATCATATCACAGGAACAATAACATAATTTAAACTTACAGGATACAATTATCGGGGACAATGCTCCAGGTCCAATATCTGCACTTTTAAAATAAAGCAATTCGGTTGCAAAATAAACAAAAGCGATTACATATGTCCAAATTGTTATGTGATAAATCCTATTAAAATATATATAATATATATAGTTTAATAACTTAAGATTTGCAATGAAAAAATTTTCATACATACGTTTTATTATTAATATTGTACGATGCATAAAAACGTATAACACCGGAAGTAAATGTCCAAACAGCAAAAAGACGTGCAGCTAATTCGGTCACTGACGTAATTTAAGACGGAAATTTGGCCTTAGAAATTATAATTTGTCTGAAGTCGATATTACAGTATACCTTGCTCGGGTTTTGCGTTATAGATTTGCTTTGTAATTGAGACAGTTACAAAATTCTGAATCGAATTGGAAAAAGCTACAATTGAGACAAATAAAGTCCAATATGGTAAATAGCCAGAGGCTTGTGGTAGGTAGTTTGACATTTTTATTGTTAAAGAGTAAAAATTTTTGTAATTGTCGAAATTCAAATATCAGATATATATCTAGAATAGGACTACTGCCGATCTGCAATACGTAGCATAAATCTGATTTTATCAGTCGATCGTTTAAATTTTTTACTATGAAATTTGAGTGATCGACACATATGAAATTTTCAATTTTCATAGTAAATTGCAACGGTAGACCATTTTTCAGTCGTTTCAGGGGTTTCATAAGAGGAAACTGCGTTCTGGACAACATGAAATGATTTGGCAAGGTAAATAATTTATAATCCTTATTTTTAAAGTAAGAATAATAACAAACTCGAAAAGAATCTTGTTTTAAAAAATATTTTTTTGTTTTATAATCTATAATATTAATAGCAATCTACTACAAAGAATGAAGTTACTAGAAAACCTCTGCACACAAAGATTAAAACCACTTAACAAACTTACAAAACTGTTAAATTTATTTTTAGAGTATAAGTAGAGAAAAAGTATTAGCAAATATGATATTGTAAAAATATTATATTAACTTGAAACAGAAGAATAAAAAGAATTAGCCAGCCTACTTTGCAAGAACACCATATTTGACTTTTCTGGATCTTAGTTGAAAAATAAAGTTGAATCAGAAGAATGAAAAGCATTAATCAATTCACTTTACAAGAACACTATATTGACTTTTCTAAAATAATAAACTTAAATCAAAAAAGCAAAAGGTATTAGCTAATGCATTTGATTGAAATATAACAAAAAGTATTAGCCAATATATTTTATACAAACAATATATAGTTTTTTAAGAATAATTTTAAGATATTTTAGTGTTGAAGTTATAGATTTTATTATAACAATTATATTTATTGTTTTATATTAATAAAAAAAATTGTAATTAAATATAATTTTTTTTTTTTTTTTTTTTATTTTATTGTGTG